ACGAGAACGGCGTTTGAATCGAGTGAATGTGAATGTGGAAAACACGGTACGGAACAACCCGCTAGGGATCTATACGCGGACGTAACGAACGGACTTTTAACGGCAAGTCCATGTTATTAAACTTATAATATACGGCATACACATAATAACAATAATAATATTTCTGTATGGGCAATAATACTGCTTTTTGCTTCACCTATATCCTTAGAAACATCCATAGGAACACGCGTCGTATGTATAACGTCTGATCAATTGGGATGCTGTGCTGCAGCACTGTGTGTATACGCACATGCCAAACACTATAAAATATTATTTTTTCCATGCCTCCCCTACACTGTTCTCGCGAAGTCACGATATTTGCCATCGTAATCATAATAATAACAATAACCGGGACATAATCCAGCGACGTTATCTCGACATAAATTTACCTTTTTACCGGCCAATCAACATCGGCCTAACCTATGCCTGGAGAAAAACGACCCGAAAATATATTGACTGTCATATATAGCACAACTTCTACATTTAAAAACGTAAATACTTAATCACTTGATTTATTATGAAAATTAATATATGTATAATTTTATTCGATATAAACAGTAGTGAATTTTGCAACATCTAAAATGAACTTTACCTACGAATAACAATTAATATTCATTTTGATATGTTTTTTTGTATTTAAAACTAAAAAAAAATATTGACTTCAGTATTATACATTTACATTGAATTGATAAGGTTTTGATTTTGGTTGATAAATCATATCAAATCGTTACAATAAACACCATATAGTGTTTTTCAGCTAATTTAAATCAAATGCGCGAGTATAAATTGTTGATATTTATATTAACCAGTGGCGGCTCGCGGCTTGGACGACGGGACCATCGCACCCCCTACTAAAATTAATTAAAAGAAGAAAATCAATTGTACATTCTATATTCAACATTTTTATTAAAAATGCAAATTTTTAAAGAGTAAAATAGTTATTACAACTATTTTATAATGTATTATACATTTGTCGTGTGCGAACATTGTTTCCCTCAGTATTTGCAGGTACTCGAATAGTATTTGAACGACCGGCAGCGTCGTTCATACGGTAAAATATTAGTATATTACTACATTGGGTGATTTGTTTTTAGAATTAACTGTTAGACGTTATCGATTGCAGTAATTGTATTATCGCTATTATTATTATTTTTATTTCTATTTTCTACTGCGACCTTTAAAATAACAATATGTGTTTTATTTGGATATATTTAATTTGACAATTTTTCACAACTATGACTGATGGTATTATATTTAAAGTCGCATCCCCACCGCCAGCACTGACGAGCCGCCATTAATATTAACTATTGTTGTATATTTATAAACTGTAATACTATCAATTTAATTTAATTAATTTATGTGAACAAACGAATGATTATTGTCAAAATAATGTACATTTATAATTGTTATTCTAACGTTAATCTACATTAATACATTATAAAATTAATATGTAACTAATCTAACTTGAACTCGAACAAAAAGAGCGACTCGCGATAGTTAATAACATTTAATACGTGTTGAGTTTAACGTTTGGATATATTAACAATTTGGCCATGAGCAGATAATATAAATAATTAATCATTAATGAAATTTTGGTGATGATTTTAACGGATTATACACCAATAAATATTTCTACATTAATCGGACTACTTCCAATTAATTCTTAGTGTTCATATAAATTGACGTGTAACTGTTCTAAAACATATTTTGAATAATTAGGCTATGATTTATTTTTAGAAACGTACTTATTTTTGTTGACAAAGCTATATTTTTATAATATTACCGCCGAGTTAATGAACGCATTATGTTAGAACCGGTAGACCAATAATAATTATTTTTTTATCGTATATCTTTATGGAATAAAAAATTCCGAATTCAATTGGAAAGCCTCGAGCCGATCGCTTTGTTGATTATGATTGAAATATAAATTATGCATCTAATTTTGTAATACGTTATAAAAATCTCCATTTGTCCAAATGATTATAAGATACAAACATTAAAACACAATGTTAATTATCTAAAGGACCACCCTAAGTTGAATAGGTGATGTTGTCCCTGACTTTTGAAACGAGCCGTGTTCTCGCCCGCAATCCCATTTATATCTTATCTATTCGCACATTTATACATGACAATTTTAGGAGGGAGTGCGATCCGTCCAACGGGATGTTCGGGACAAATCGACATCGATGGCGTTATTTCATTAAAGTCCTTTTAAAAGCCAAAGTGTATTACATCGTAATCGATACGCCCTCGGCGCGTGCACACCCTCCGGCAGACGTTGTCGTGTACACACTCTCAATTCTCCAGTTCGAACACCGTAAATAGTACAAGAGGGACACGCGCTTGATTAAACCGATGACGCCGCCTCCATCTCATCGGCGGTGGCCTTTAAAACGGTGAACTTATGACATACCGCCGCACAGAGCGCATCGCACACGGTGTTTTTGTTGCACACAACGCGAACAAAGTGTACACATGCAATGGACGCCATACACGTGATGTTATAGACAAAACTCAAAAGTAATATGCGAACAACAATAAAGTGCAGCTAAGGGCATTGTTGTGCGGTAATCTGATTATGCCAGCGCCGTTTAGCAAAGGGGTGCTCAACTTATCGAGTTAACGCGTTCCTCTCGCCGTGTTTCGTACCAACAAGACATGCACATATTATACTTATAATGCACTCGCAGTCGTATTCGAATATTAAATTAAGTCAACATTTCATTAAGCAGATTCGAATGCACATATATACATTAACGTCCTGTAACTGCGATTTAAATACAAGTACTTTATCCGTGTAACCATCAAAACTAACATGCACATATTTTGTACAATTTTTTTACATCTCCAGGTCAACAAAGTTTAAAATGAGTGTACATTTAATAACTAATTCTTATTTTTATTATGTGAAAATGAAATTATTTTGTGATAATTACAAGACCAATCGTATCATGACAAAATTAATTTATCTCAACGCAGCCCCGGTGATGTGATCAATTAATGGTAGCGAGTACATTAAATTGAAATGCATTTTATCAACCATTTGATTAATATTTATTTAATCAATTTCTATTGTCTAATCCATATTATTTTTTTGTTTTTGGCATTTAAATAACTACAATTTAAATTTATAAACTTCTATGATTAATAATGGTTTGTTTTTGTATTTATAACGCTTTGTAAAATTTCCTATTTCAATCATAATGTGAAAAATTTCCAAATACTGAATAAAAATAAAATCATATAATAAAAATTGATCACTTGTGGCTAATTAATTAAGTAAAATTAGAACTATATAAAAAATATTATTAATTTAAAAACTAAAAAATATTTAACTCAAAAGCCACGAAAAATTACTGAAAAGTCGCGGATACAATATTTTCTGATGGGCGGGGGGTTACTTATGCAGAGATTTCTAAATGAACACCGAAAGAGGACCTTGCATATAAGCTAGATAAATATAAAGTTTATAAATATTAGTGATTGAAAGTATATGTTTTCAAAAAAATTTCTATCAAACTGTAATATCAAATAAATATATAAAAAAGAATATGGGATATATTGACCAAGTTGGAATGATGGGTTTGCACCGAGGTTCTATTGGAATTCGTAGAGTCCAACAATTTAGAACAATAAAGACAAGTAAATATGAACAGAAAATAATTAACAGTCGTCTTTATTATGGTGTAAAGATGAATTAATTGAAAGGGTCCATTAACAGTACAATTAGTTATTCTTGGTATGGCGGTGGACTCCTATCAGATACCCAGTCGGAGTTTATCATAGAACTGATACTTTGACAGATAATTGAAAAAATAGTTAATCGAGATATATTGAAGCCAATTAACTAGTATAAAGATAAATGTGTAAAGTATAATTAAGTTGTGTATTTAGAGATATTTCCTGGGATTTTAAAAATACTTTTCGTGAAAAATGTTATGTTTCTGAATTAACTATAAAAATGAATATTTGTTGAGTATATTTTAATGTATTAATGTTTTTGAATAACTATAAAGATTGCAGTTATTCTGACGTATTAAATTAAGTTAACGGTTTGCCTATTTCTATTTGGTTTTCATTTATTATCTAATAAACAATACATTTAATAAAGTTTAATATAAAAAACAATTTTATTATATTTATTATAAATAAATGATTTTCTATGTTAAAATTTAAGAATAAAATTGTTTTTGATATTAAACTTTATTAAATGTATTGTTTATTAGTTGACCAATAAATATTAATGTCGATTTCGTTTTATAGTTAACAACTTTCGGTTCTTTTTCACTGGCTTATGACCAACACGTCCATTGCTGATGGGTAACTTCTCGGATGTCACGTATATTAAACAAATCTAATTAACTTTAATGTGCAGTTGTAGAAAAAACATGACAATAATAACTCTTTCGGTGGCCCGCAAACTTCTTCTCAAGCAATAAAAAATGTATTTTCCATCAATAGACATTATGCATTGTGCGCTTTGAAAGGGAAAAAGAATGATGGAGATAAAAAAAATAAACGTTTTGCAGCCATTGTTATTCCTCTTGACAATGGAAAACCATAATCTATGTCCCGTTGCAATAATTATAAACCGATTAACCTAATTGTGTGTGGTGAAACTTTATCATTTTTTTTTATTCCAAACTATAATAGTGACTATAAGGTAATGTTGTTGGACGGGTGCTCTTGTCCAACACAGTTTAAAATAACCAATCATAAGACCTCAAATAAACGTGTATAGAAAACAGGTGAAATACGAGCCGGGTGCAATTTTTTAGTCGAATATATTGAGTGCTTCATAAAAGGGTTTGAAAAACTTATTGTAATAGCATTATATAAATATATACATCCATAGATTATTGTAAGCACAATAACATTAAATTGTAGCAGAATAGCAATTTTATAGTAAATAAATGAATTACTCTTATAAAATAATTCACTAATAAAGAAAAGTTCAAATATTGATGCTAAAACAGCTATTGACAATGTATATATTTTTCTTAATACTTTTATAAATTCATTTATATTATTTTGGTTTTTCAAAAACTTTTTACTGGTTTGAAGTGAGTATTTTATGATGTTTTGATTGCTAAAAAATATATAAATAAAAATTTAATGAAATATTTAATTTTATGTTCAATACAAGTAAAAAAAAATATCAAATTTCTTACTAATTTTTATATTGAAGAAATGAGTAGTGTTTACTTATATAAATTTATACGTGGTTATTTTGTGTTTATCAATGTCCATTGGCTCTAAAATGTCTTCTGGTGACGCTTCAGGGTTCAATCCTAGATAAACAATACAAATAATACGTTGAAAAAGTATTTACAATAGTTAAAAACGATTATTAATAATCGTTAAAATAGTCCTTTTACCTTGTTTTAAAAAGTCGATAAATTCTGACGTTTTAGGATCTCCAGATGGAACTTCTAATTTATTATTAAAATAGTCAAAATCATGTTAGTTAAAATTATTTATGAGGCCTAAACAATTATAGAATTTTGTTATTTATTATATATAAATGTGCTATGAGCTGAGGAAATGACTTTGGTTAATTAATTATTTTTTGGAAAGCGAAGAAAATTCTAAATAAAAATACAAAATCCTTAAATGGCTTATTTTTTTATATTTTTATAATATAAATATTTTTATTTTTATTTCATATTACCATAAATATGCTAATATGATTCGATATACAATTTTTACTATAAACTAAATTATTGATATTTTACCTTCTTGAAAAAAGTTTATTAGTTCTGGCGTTCTTATATTTTTATCTGGAACTTCTAATTTTTTATTACAGCTTTCTATAATTACAAGTTATTACATCGTTAAAATTATATTAGTTACAATTCCTTTTGAGAACAAAACAATATTATAATATTGTTATGTGAACTTGAAAACAATAACGTGCTATGTACCAAAAAATAATTTTGGTTAATTATTTTTTAAAATTTGAGAAATTTCTAGATAAAGATATATAAAAAATTAAATAGTTTGTTCTTATAATACTCATGAAAAAAAAAATTATAATTTTTTCCATTTATTTTTAAAAATAATTACATTTTGCTAAATTTTTTTTTTTTATTTCCCACTTTACCCTTTTAAGCTATTTAGTACCTTTTAAACATATAAAACGGACTAAATTAAATTTGGCAATTTTTCTGGAACTAATTCAATTTCTGATTTTTTGGTACATAATCCTGATATTTAAATTCGAATCGAATTATATCAAATTTTTCATTTTATATCAAACCCTAACCTAACCAAAGGTTTCATTTTTAAAGCAAATATTCAATTATAAATTAATAAAATTAAAGCTTTTATATGCTAAAATTATTTTTAAGCAATCAAATAAAAAAAATAATTATTTTGTATGATTTCAGTAATACTTTTCGAGTACCTTTTTTTTAATTTCAATATAAAATTATAAATCGAGGATAAATTATTTTACAATGTTTAAAAAAGTCAATTAGTATTAGCATTCTATAGTTTTCATATTGAACTTATGTTTTCTGATCACTTCTTACTATTATGAGAATTCATTGTAGTCAAAATTATGATTCAAATGAATAATTAAAATGACTTTTAAGGTCAAAATAATTACATAGTTTTTAGATTCTATGCGAAGCTATAAAGTATTGGTTTTTACATGAAAATTCTTAGTTCTCAAAGGATCAATTTTATTTATCGATGCGCAGGGGCGTATTCACATACTTTCCAGCTATAGGCATTTTAAAATTTGCTACCCTTCATTACGTTAATGTGGGGGGGGCTTAATTTTCTTTATTTTCGCCAGAACACTACTAATTTCCCTTCAAAAATAAAAGTATTTATAAATGTTTTTTAAGCAAATCTTTGTAAATTAATAAATCATAAAATTAGCATTATTTTTAATGTATTACATTATTAGCATAAGTCATACGTGGTTGAGAACAAACAGAACACATAAATGGTAAAATAACACGTAAGTAATTCATAATATATAATTAGTTATTATAAAATTGATTTAGGTCAACATTTAGCTTTCGCAAATGAGCCAATTAAATCTTCGCAATTAAGTTCGTTTAACATTTAATTTTCTGTGATGAGAAATGCGATATTATTTAACTCAGTATCAGTCTGAGTGGATCTAAGATAGTTTTTGACGCGTTTGAGACATGAAAACGATCTCTCTACAGTACAATTAGACACTTGTACACATACGAAAATTCTTAATGTTATATCAATATTTGAAAAAATATTTTTTTTTTGGTTTTAAACTGTATGTTTTTTGTGAAATACCGTTTTTTATGGAATGATCGCGAAAATCTTCATTAATAACCCGTTTTGCTTAGTCAGTCTTCAGAATCAATGTATTAAAAATCATATTAGTTGAATTAGGAGACCTCCAACTATACTTTGGTTCAACAACTTCAACCTCAAGAGGTAAAATATTTTTTATTTTAATGTCACTAATTTGAGCATACGACCAACAATAATATCCGTAATTTTATCTTCACTAATTTTTGTACAAAAAGTAGAAGAAATTGGTTTGTCAAAAAAATTACTTTATTTTAATGTTTATTTTGTAGTCTATCATTTTGTAATTTGGAAATATTTTTGTACTGGTCACCACATAACTGTTTTCTATTTGTACTCATGTTCACAAATTAAGAAGAATATTTAACAAAAAATAGACATAAATTAATAGCGCATTTTAAAGGAGCTACGCGAACACTAGTCGAATTATGACAATAACATCCTTGGATATGATTTGTTTTCAAACCAGATTTTACGATTACATTAATCACTTTTTTCTGGCTTAAACACAATTCTTCAAAGACAGGGATAACAAAGTTACCATAAAAGTAATAAACTTGTATTTCATTAATAATCTCTGCTATTGTTATCGGGAAATTGAAAATAGATTTAACTTTGCTTGTACCTATTAATATACATATCATACATACACAATGAATGAATACGATTATGATTATTATTAGGAAGTCAATGTCATAACATTAACAAAAAATAACTAGCTTTTTATAAATTTGTCAGCCAAAAAAATTTAACGCTCTTCAATATTTGCCTCTGTAAGGGGCAAATTATGAGTTGCCTATAGTGCCTCATATAAATACGCCGCTGTTAATTGGTCAAACAAACTTGATTTTAACTGGGTTAGATCTATTGTCACCAAAAATTTGTAAAACCCACTCAATTTTAGAAATTAAAAAAAAAAATTTCAAACTTACACAACTGTAAACAATTAAATTTGTTTACATTTGCATATCTATCAAATATATATGTATATATAGTAACCTAAGAATCATCATGGCCAATCACAAAAAATCGACTAATATAATATAACAAATCATAAATTAGATTTATAAAAATTTACCATGACAGTTATTAGGTGATGATATATATATATATATATAATATACAGGTTGGCCCAGCACTCACTGACAACTTAAATAACTTTTGATCCAGTTAATATTTTTAGCTGATTTTTTTTTTGAAATAATAGTTATACGTTAGGTCTATTGCTATATCTCAATAATTAATTATTTTTTAATTTTAAATAAAATGTAAAAAAATATCTAAAATAGCTATTTGATAGAGTTGTCGTAATATGCTCAATGCTTGCATTACGCATCTTACAATTATTAATAAAAATGTATAATCTGTATTTTAAATAACTTGTAAACAAACAAATGATTTATCTGTAATAACAAATACGATGTGTCAACACAATTTCTTATTATTTATTTATATATGTTATCTCAATATAATTATCATGTAATGTATAATAAATACAATAAACTAAAAAGATCACTAAAAGCGCTGACAACAATATCCCTGGATTGGGGGTACTATCATTTTACTATAAAAAGCACTGAAATCCTTTCAGACTAGAGAGAGAGTCAGGGAGAGACTCTAGAGAGACTCCAAGGAGTGATAGCGAGCAAGAGAGTTCGTTTTCTCCGAATTGAAATAAGAATAAAAAGAAACAATTATCAGTCACAGCCCTGTGTTGTTGTCGGCTGACTTTTACGCGTTTTATTTATATATGAAAAGAACTTGTTTTAATTATTTATCTTTTGAAGAAGTGCGAATTAAATACTTTTAAACATATATAAACATATCGAGATATTTATCAAATCATTTTACAGCAATTTGCAAGAATAAAAGAAGTAAGTAATTTTATGTTATCCCAATTATTTGGAGTTAATAAATTTGAGTAAAGGATGACAAAGCAATAGATCATTTATTAAATTAATATCTTAAAGTGTCAATTTTGACTGGTTGGTTAAAGAAATTATACATAATCACGTTATATGGTATTCGTGAACTGGCTCTGCCGTTTCGTTGCCTTAAAGATGTTTTAAAAAACCTAGCGTGATTTCTACTGTATAAATTAGGCTCTGGTATTCGTGGACTGGCTCTGCCGTCTCGTTGCCGAGGTATTCGTGAACTGGCTTCGCCGTTTCGTTGCCTCTTAGTTAGGACATTAGAAACTAACCAGACAAAAGTTTATTCTACCTCTATAAGAGGAACTTAATATATATTTTTATATCTACTTGTCTTTGTCGTTCTAAACCCTCGAACCATACGACCCCGATAGAACCACAACATCAGGTTCTCACTAAGCCCATCACCCTTCGCTTATTTTCATTATTTTTACTTAACGATTATTGATTAATATATTTGAATTATAACAGAGTAGAATTTAAGAAAATTTTAGTAAAAAAATATCTTATTAATATTCAGTAGTAAATATTCTGTAGCATTTTAAAGTTTGTGAAAATTTGAATTTTCATGTATTATTATTATTACTACAATTTGGTGGTGTGTAACTTTTTTCATGAAAATAACTTATACTTTTGAATGAGTGTGATAAGTAATAATTGCCTTATCGAATTTCTTATCATGGTATTAATGCCAAGTTTGTAATGTTTATACAGAGGCAATCATTTACCTAAAACCACTTAATTAATCGAAAATTACTTTATAAGAGATGAACATAAAAAATAATTTATGATTCATAAATTGATAAGAACTTGTGCCTAAATAACATCAAAACACAAAAGAATATAATATTTTTATTTTTCAATTAATTAATTTTTTCATGATTAATCATTCACTCTTAATATTCATAAAACAGCTTACTTAATTTAGTATACTCATTAGAATCATTTTGCACTAGTTCAATCATCTCTTTGGTACATGTATAATTTGGTTGAATATCTACAAATATCAAAAGAAATTAATCATTATTATTTTCAAAAAAATCCTATACTAATGTCTAAAATTAAAATTATATTAATTTAACACTAAAAAAAATACTAAAAATATTTCACTCAAAAAGAGACAAAAAAATTACTAAAATGTCGTAGAGATTTATTCGGAAACAATATAATAGTATTTTAGTTTTAATATAATTATAATTTTAAATAATATAAGCCACAACTGATCAATTTTATTACATTTATACAAATACACTTTTTCTGGATATTCTTAATATCTAATTTCTTATTCAGATAGCTTAATTTATCAAAAAATAATTATAGAGTAATAGAATCAACCAGTTATAACCAAAAATAAATAATTAGTACAATACTTCTTAAAGCAATATATACTAGTGAAATATAAAATATTTACAAAGTTTTAAAGAAACTTAAAATGAATTGTCCAAATTTATAACTATAATTCGAATTTTAATACCCTTATAACACTTAAATTCAAATTTTTTGCTGGCAAATCAAATTAATTCGATAAATAATGACTTGGTTTTTTTTTTCAAAAATCTTAACTTAAAAATAAATTTAAAAAAAATTCAATGAAAAAAATATACTCAATAATTGGAAAATAAGTCAATCGCAAAATTAATATAATTTCTTTATTTAGTTAAAAACGATTAATTTTTTTAAAATATTGATCATACCAGAATTTAATTGTATGGGTACAACAATCTTTTGGGTCGACGATTCGTATTTAAATCCAAGGTCAATAAATTTGTCAACCATTGTGTGCTTAATTGTATCGTGTAACTTTCTACTTAAATAATCCCAGAAACTAAGTTTATTGTCTACCTTAGTTATAGTTTCATATTCTTCATTCCACCTTTGCCACATCTCATTCAAATTATAATGATTATATTTACAATGTGGGCATCTATAATCGATTAGATCCACTTTTTCTTTTAAAAAAGTGGTTATAGTATTTAATGATTGTTGTGTAATTATTGAATCAATTAAAAAATTATTTTTTAAAACTTTATGATTCTTTAGTAAAACAGAAAGAAAACGAATGAAAAAAAAATCATGTTCTTTAGAATTGTCCCATGGTTTAGTGTGCATTATATCTAATGCTATTAATGCTCCTCGCATTATTTTAACTAATGAATTTAATTTATTTATTAATATCAATAACTTTTTAGTGCAATCATAAGCATAAGTTTTGAGATTTTGTTGGCCATATAGCTTTTCACAATAATTTCTAAATTTTTCAAACATAAAATAAAAAGTTTTCAAATATTTAACATACGAACATCCAAGTACAAGTGTAGCAGCTCGTACTTTATTATTGCAATTGTATAAGTCAATATTTTTTTCAAAGTTTGTTTCTAAGAAGAACAATTTGTTATAAAAAAGAACTTCTTTCACGTCATTCAATTTTTTCCACTTATCATTAGCAAAAAGATTGGTTAACATTTCAGCATTTTGTTTAGAATTGTATTCTGCTTCAGAAAATCCGAAAATACAAATTAAAAATAAACTGACACAGAAAAATCGTTTTGGCGACATTTTTTTTATTAAACTATAAAATAATAAATAAACTTAACAATTCAGTAACACCCTAAATTGAAAATTGAAAATTTTACTGCACAATATTTTAAGTTAAATATATGATTCCATTCATTTTACTTATTAAGTCATCGCAAATAATTATATTAATAGATGATTTATTTATATTTATCGTCTTGATAATGACGATATAGTAGTATCATTTTGTAAATTTCTATGATTTTATGTCAATACAGAAGTCAAATTTTAATATTAAAATACTTTTTGTAGTTTACTTTACGTTTTATAAAAGACTATTTAGTAATTTACTTTAAATATATTATTTTATTCTTTAAAATTAGTTCTCTATTTATTGTAATTTTCTATTTCAGATGTATATTCTGATTGATTAACAATTATATTTAACAATTATAGTGTTATTAACCAGGGTCTTGTACCTGAAATATTCCATTACATAATACAGTAGTTATACAGAAGTAAACATCACAGCACGAAATTACAAAATATTATAAATAAAATATAATTCAACACCGATTTAAAAAAAACCTAAAATAAAAAATTATAAAAAAATCGAAATTATTTTATCTGTCTGTAAAAAATACAATGTACGAAATAAATTTAATAAGACTTACCCGATACCATTCAATCTTTTCATATACAGGGTGTTCAGTAAGTCAGGAAACGGGTTTCTATTCTTCTCATTGTTACAAACAATGAGAACAATAGAAACCCGTTTCCTGACTTACTGAACACTCTGTATATGAATTCCAGTATTTTTAACTTATATAATTACAGTAAATCATTTTATTATATGTAGAGCTACCTGAGGTAAAATTGTTTCTTTTTTTTACTATTGTATATAAGTTTTAGTAGACGATAGTTTTTATTTTACAATTTTTTTAAGCTAAAGAAACTATTAAAGAATACAAAGTATTAATAGTGAGTTTCGAACTATAGTTAATAAGTAATAAACTGACACAAAAATAATAATAAGAACATACCTGTACCTCATTTGTGGATTAAGATTCCTGTTAGTATTGAATAAGTTTAAACATGTAAATAAATAAATAAATAACTTTTTTCAGGTATTTTTTATTCGAAATAAAAAAATAATCACAAATTAATTGAATTTAGAAATTTCATAATTCAATATCATTATATTTAATTATACTAAATGATAAAAAGGTTTAGCCATTAAGAGATATATTTTTTTCTCAAATATTATTATTATTATTACACATTATAATAATGTGCTACCAATAAAAATTTTAAAAATTAATGACGTTTATCTTTTTATCATTTATAATGTAAAAACATTTATTATTATGTTCTTACCACTTATATTACATACGTTTTATTTATATTTACTTAATTCGTAATTCATTTTAATTACCATAGAGGGAGATTCTGATGTGATAATTCTACTCCTCTGTAGCCCGCAACTACTGACGTTGAACTAACAAAGGACAGTTGTGTTTAAGTGGCCATTATAAACATAGTTTTCAATACTATTACTTTCGTCTTATTTATATTATTATAACTTCTCTTGTTTTATTCAATGACCCGTCAATTGCCAATTGTCATCATTGCCAACCAACTTCGTCTCACTTAGATATACCTACTAACCAACTGTACTAGGATTCAGGTCAGACGTATTGTATATTCCATATAACTTATATTTACTGAACATCTAGAATATAACTTTACTTTGTCGTTGACATAAAACAATAGTCTAATTTTATTTAATAATCTATCCCCTGTAACTAAGGTACACGATTGCCTGTGTCTCCTTCAGGTAATTAAAACTCATTTAAGGAGATAGGGGCGATATTTGGGCAGTCGTCGGGTAGCTTCCGATTCTAGTTTTGACCAAGATCCTCAAGTATAAAACTAGTCCCTAACAATAACATTGTAATAATGTATGATATATTATTGAATCAATATAATTTTATCATAAATGTATTTTTATCTAGTGAGCATAAACAAGAATTTATTCGATTTTGTATTTAATGAATAATAGTGCAAATGGTTCCGTGTTTTAGATGAATGTTTCAAACCCTGCAAATAAATTAATAAATAAAAATCTTTGATTAACAAACCATATAAGTACTATATAAATTTAAAAAATATACCATAACTTACAATGGTTGTAGTTCACCTTTAATTGGAAACTCTTGTAAAGTTGCTGTTTAGTAATTTACTTTTGATATTACCTCTATTATTTATTTTTTAGACTTTGTACTTAATACTTATTATCCTAGTTTTTAAAGGTTTTTTGAAGTTATAAATAACTTCAAGCAATTTAAAGCAGATACTTTTAGTAACTATGTTTCCTCGTGTAAGTATAATATCATTTATTACTAATTATTAAGTTAACAGATATAAATTCAAAAATATCAATCATGTAATTTATTATTAATGTATAATGTATTTATTTAATTTTAAATAAATCAAATAATTAAGTGATATCAAACTAAGCAAATAAGCATAATATAATTTGTAAAAAATTATTCAATATATGTATATATTTTTAAGTTTTCATTATCAACCTATTTGTTTGTTTAATCTAGATTAATTTTTTTTTCTCCTATATTATATTTTACAATTGCAAGATTAAATAAATCTACCCAAATCATTTAAGTAGCTACATAAAAAAATTTCTTTCAAATCATAGTAATATTCCCAGGTTGGAACCTGTATCTCGTTAATAGCATTGATATTAGCACTATAGCGAGATTAAAAAATGCTAATGATTCTGAGTTTTTTGATAAAACCCTGACGTTTTAGGTATTTGAAATACTGGTTTTTGAAAACCTGTTCATTTTACTTTTTATTTATTTGTTTATGTTTATTGCTAAATTTTCTCAGCTTTTATTAGACCGATTTTACTTAATAATACATCAAAAGGTAGGACATTGGATCTAGTTGATGGCATAACCCTTAAATTTTGATAAAATATCCCATGTTAAATTGGGAAAATTCCCCAAAAAATTACAATTTTTTAAATCGTAAATTTCGTCATTTTTAAATCTTTATTATATAAAACCGCCATAACTTTATTAAAAATTGTTGACTGAAAACAAATTTTCTGTAAATATCTTAGGTATATTTTTTTGAAAATCTAACTCTTTACCTACCCACATTGAGAAATTGAATATATACAGGGTGGCCCACCACTCACTGACAACTTAAATAACTTTTGATCCAGTTAATATTTTTAGTTGATTTTTTTTTTAAATAATAGTTATACGTTAGGTCTATAGCTATATCTCAATAATTAATTTTTTTACATTTTATTAAAAATATTAATTATTTTTAAATTTTAAATAAAATGTAAAAAAAAAATCTAAGATAGCTATTTTGTAGAGTAGAATTTAAGAAAAATTTTAGTAAAAAAATATCTTATTAATATTCAGTAGTAAATATTCTGTAGCGTTTTGAAGTTTGTGAAATTTTGAATTTTCATGTACTATTTTACGGTATTAAACATTGAAATACGTATTGAGAAAAGGACAGAAGAAAACGCTATCTTTTCATGATTACTGTGTATACATATGATGATAATGTGTATACATTACAAACTTGGCATTAATACCATGATAAGAAATTAGATAAGGCAATTATTACTTATCACTCTCATTCAAAAGTATATTGAAAAGATAGCGTTTTCTTCTGTCCTTTTCTCAATACGTATTTCAATGTTTAATACCGTAAAATAATACATGAAAATTCAAATTTTCACAAACTTCAAAACGCTACAGAATATTTACTACTGAATATTAATAAGATATTTTTTTACTAAAATGTTTCTTAAATTCTACTCTACAAAATAGCTATCTTAGATTTTTTTTTTTACATTTTATTTAAAATTTAAAAATAAATAATATTTTTAATAAAATGTAAAAAATTAATTATTGAGATATAGCTATGGACCTAACGTATAACTATTATTTAAAAAAAAAATCAACTAAAAATATTCACTGGATCAAAAGTTATTTAAATTGTCAGTGCGTGGTGGGCCACTCTGTATATACTTTTACATGAAAAGTTAACTTTTGAAAATGTTCTGGAAATATTGCGTTCTTTAAACATGTTATATTTATAGACATAAAGGGGGGGCACTTAGCCTTCAAAAGTTACCGTAGCCTCTTCCACAAATTAAAAAATCTATATGTATTTTTATAAAAAAAATTTAGGGTGAGGGAAAAATCAATTCCTTTAAAATTTGTTCATAAATTTATATTCATATACTTATATTAAAGCTTATGTTACATACTATAAGTAAAAAGACAAAAAATTCCCGACACCTTATCATTTATGTGCTTAAGGCCGACGTAGTATAAAAAAAACGTGATTTTTAAAGTTCAAATCCTCAATTTTATATCTTCAACTTTATACTATTATTAATTTCTAAGAAATGTATGTATTAATACAAACTTTTTTTAAAGTACTTTATGCATGTCTTAAAATCTGATATACTTCTTTTTTAAATCTGACTATATCCCTCATTCACGAAGAGTAGTTAAAAACTTGAAAAATACGTATATTGGTTTTAAAGTGGGCATATTAAAAAATATTATAGGAACACTAATTAATAATATAAATTATAGATTATCCCATTTCGAGTGTATGCGGGGACAACAGGTGAGATGAAATAAAATAGTTAGAAACGAAGAAGACCTAAAGAAAAAAGTGTTTGATATCTGTCAAACAATTTGTATGGTAGCTATTTCACCAGTTCTGTGTACAGGCCTACCCAACACTTTTAGTGTTAACGGTATAGGCACATCATTACTCAACTCTAAGCTGGACTCGTGTATAAAGGAGAAAGATAGATACAAAGTAAGTATAGAGGAGAGAGTGTACAAAAGCAGAAAGAACACAATATGTAAATCGATGATCTAGTGGTAAAAATTGAAAGAGGGAAAAGAAAATGAGTTTTTAAAGACGACGTAGAATGTCGAATGAGACATAAATGATCTGTGGAATAGATGTGTTAGTTGTGTAAAGCATACTGCAAAGAAGATTGTTGACAAGAGTAGGAGTAGAATGCCAGGAAATAAGAAATCCTTGTGGTGGGATGAGGACGTTCAAAAAATCATAGAGAGTAAGAAAAAGCAGTTCAAAGTATAGCAAAAGAGCAAAATTAGAGAAGATTGGATGGAGTATAAACGCTTGTACAAAAAAGACAAATGTGCAGTAAGTAAGGCGAAGTTTAAGAGGTATGATAAGTTAGGAACAAAGGAATGAAAAAAAAGAAGTCTATAGACTTGCAAAAGTAAAAGAAAACTGGTCTAAATATTATTAAAATGTAAGGTGTATAAAAAGTAGATGATGAAGTAAAAAAAAAGTTGAAAGAGTTTTTTCAAAAAATACTGAATGTGGAGTATCCAAGAGAGACATTAAAGGATATCTTATGGAACAAGTGGCTGGTAGATTTAATTATTGAGAAAAAGGTAAGTGAGGCTGTCACATTAATGAAAATGAATATAGCAGTAGGACCAGATGAAATGCCAGTAGAAGTATGAAAAATATTAGGCGATGTTGGCATTGAAAAAACTTTTAAATAAAATCTTATTAGAAGGGAAAATTCTAAATAATTGGAGGAATAGTATTGTGGTCCCGATATTTATAGGTATAGGAGACATACAGGAGTGTGGAAGTTATAAAGGCATAAAACTTTAGAGTCATAGTATGAAAATTTGGGAAAAGGTAATAGATAAGAGAATAAGAAATGAGACATCGATATCTAAAAACCAGTTTGGTTTATTGCCTGGAATGTCAACAATGGAGCCATTTTTTTGCGTGAGACAACTGATAGAAAAGTTTAGGGGAAAGACAAAAAAGCTGTGTATGGTATTTATAGATTTGGAGAAAGCGTACGATAGAGTACCGAGAGAAGTTTTAAAGTGGGCATTAATGAGAAAAGGAGACCCAAAATGGTACATTTATATAATAGAGGTTATTTATTATGGCATTTTGTACTAGGATAATAAAATGTGGGGGATGTAACAGAAAGTCTTAGGTTAGTGCAGTAGGGAGTGCGCCAAGATTCTGTTTTAAACAATTACTTATTTTCTANTATTATGGCATTTTGTACTAGGATAATAAAATGTGGGGGATGTAACAGAAAGTCTTAGGTTAGTGCAGTAGGGAGTGCGCCAAAATTCTGTTTTAAACAATTACTTATTTTCTATAGTGATGGATGAAATTACTACATAAATACACGTAGAGGTGCCGTGGGGCATATTAGTAAGATAGAGTATATACTCTGTCTTACTCCTACTTATTCTTAAGCATTTTTCTTCAAGATCTGATCTCTACACCTCTAACCTTTGATTAATTTCCTCCCTATTTTTTCGTATTAATACTATATCGTCAGCGAACAACATGCACCACGGCATCTCTCCTTGTATTTCTCTAGTAATTTGTTGTCTTCGCATAAATCCGACATAGGATAATTCACCGAAGTTCTGTTCATGACACCTCATACTTATTGATAAAATTTTACACCGGTTTTCGACCTGACGCAACCTCATTAGTCGCATCTTACGACTGGCACAGGGGCTGTGGAAGTATTCTTATCCCTTATTCATAGTAAATATACAACTGCGTGAGTAAAAATTCGATTGATATATGGAAAACAACTTTATATCTAGAACGTTTAATACATTTTACGTTTGGTGTAGTGCCCTTTTATATTTTGGGAATTTAAGACACAATATATAAATATATGTATTCATAAATTGGAGGCTACATTTGAAATGAATTGTTTAAATAATGACGTGGCTTATTTTATAGAATAAAATAATACCATATTAGTTTATGAATTATTATTACAAAAAGTACAAAAATATTAAAATTTGACTTTTTGTATTAACAAAAAAATCAAAAGAATTAACAAATATATGCTATTTAATCTTACTACCTAGAATTTAATAAAACACCTGTTAATATAATTATATGTTTTATGATGATCCAATGAGTAAAATCAATAATATACATATATATTATATGCATATATATATAATAAAATAACTGTGGTATAGTTTTAATTTTCGATTTTAGTTAGATTATTATTTTGCGGTCTAATAAAAAAAATGTTGCTTTTACGATTTTTTTGTTTCTGTTCATTTTTAATTTGTATTCTGAAGTTTTCTAAAGCGTTTAACAATTTTAAAATGTATAAAGATACGTTAAAAAGTCTTTTTTCTAATGATGCGTGGAAAATTTTGAATGACGTGGAAAGTGTTGCTTTTTATGGTAGACATTACTTCTTAAAAAAAGCCCTTGAAAATAATGCCATCTTCAATAATTATAATTATCAAGTACGTACTGCTACTCTAGTACTTGGTTGTTCGTATGTTAAAGATTTGAAGACTATTTATTATATATTTGAACATTTTAGTAATCATTGTGAAAATCTATACTATCAACAAAATCTCGTAATATTAGGTTTCACTTGGACTAAAAAGTTATCAAAATTAATAAATAAAATATATTCATTACTTAAAATAATACAAGGCACAATACAAACTTTAGACATAATGCATATTAATCCATGGAACGAATATAAAGAACATGACATGTTATTCATTCGTTTGCTTTCTATTTTACAAAAGGACCATGAAGTTTTAAATAGTAACACTCTCTTAAATGATCATTCAATGATTACACAGGAATCATTTAATACTATAACTACTTTTTTAAAAGATAAGCAGTCTATTATATTAACTACTTAAAATTTGAAAGGTTTTACTCAATCACTCCTAGTGCCGTATTGGGGTTGAAATACGACAATTGTGGGTAGTTTTTTTATTTATGAGTTTAACTCAATACTCTTATTTTTAACGTTAAAATATGTAGAACCTTATTTATAGAACTTATTATTGCCCATAAAAAATGTATTTATATAATTTTTCATATATAAATTATACTTTTAGATATATAATAAAATATAATAAATTTCATGAAAACTTGACGTAATATTTTTACACAATTTATTTTATAAATTGTGTAAATATATAACCGAAGCGGTCTTGTTCACGGGCAGGTACAAGTTCACTCCTCCACGGCTCGCCGTGCTGGGGGTGGACGTCCCGCTCAGGGACTCCATGACGTATCTGGGCCTGGTCTTCGACAGACGTCTGATGTTCGGGCCGCACATTATTCATGCGGCCCAGCGGGCCCAGAAAGTCATGGACAGCCTGGCGGGGCTCATGCCCAATCTGGGAGGACCGAGGGAGATGCGGCGCAGACTCCTCGTCAGCGTCATTCACTCGGTCCTCCTGTACGGGTCCCCGGTCTGGGCGGATACCCTCGAGTATTCGCCCAGAAACAGCGAAGCCCTGNCGATCCGGACCGTGTCGGCTTACCGAACGGTCTCCGGAGTGGCGGCGGGAATACTGTCGTCACTGCCGCCCGCCGACCTGCTAGCCGCGGAACGGGCCGCCGGACATGAGCTCCGCCGAGAGCGCGGCCGACTCCTCGAACCCGAGGAANCGCGACCGACCCCTCGAACCCGAGGACCGGTTGGCGCTCCGGCGGACCACCATGCTCCGGTGGCGGGCTCGCCTCTCGGAGGAAACGACGAGAGGCGAGTGGACCAGGTCCCTCATAGGACCCGACCGCCTAGAGAAGTGGGTGGACCGGACACACGGTGATATATCANGCGAGTGGACCAGGTCCCTCATAGGACCCGACCGCCTGGAGAGGTGGGTGGCCCGGACACACGGTGAGATGTCTTACCGTCTCACGCAAGTGTTGTCCGGCCACGGCTGCTTCAACGAATACCTTCACGGTATTCGGAGGGCAGCCGCGCCGACGTGCGACCACTGCCAGGATCGCCCGGGAGAGGCAGACAACGCTCTGCACACCCTCTTCCGGTGCGAGGCGTGGGCCCAGGAACGGGACTCGCTGGAGTCCCGTCTGGGGTCCACGATCCGCGTCGGGTCCTTGGTGGACCTGATGTTGGGATGCCGGGAGGCGTGGAGGCTCGTCCAGGCGTTCGCCGAATCCGTCCTGAAAAGGAAAGAGGAAGCCGAACGCCTGAGGCAGCGCCAGCCGCGCCGCCCGGTGCAGGAGGACCTAAGGCGCTGGTTTAGACCGGCGCCTTAGGTATTCGTGTGTTTATGTTTACGTGTTTGTGAGTTATTTTATTCCCCCTTCGCAAAGTCCTGCCCCCACCTCCACGTGGTGCAACCCGGGCAACGGATCCCGACTTTTGGGATCCGGCTAACGGGGGAGGCCACACCACGTTGTGAATCAGCTCTTGATTAATTTCGGGCTGATTCACAACGTGGTGGTGTGAGTTATAGAGACGGCGTGGGCCGCCCTGAGGTAATACCTAACGGTAGTTCCGGGGCGGCCCACATGTAGGCCGGTCGTGATTGGAAAAAAAAAAAAAAAAGTTTTCCGAAGAGACACTGGACTGTTTCAACTTATGTTAATTCACGTATAACTATTTCTCCAGTAAAACTCAATATTCAATCTACCCAAGGTTAAAATCGAATTCAATATTCTTTTGATATTTTATGTAAACCCTGTAGCGAGGTGTAATATATTGAAATAATAAACACTTAATGTTTATTATTTCTTACTTAATGGCTGGATGAAGATGTGCTAAAAGAGTAGCGGTCGCAAGACTTTCTTTGCATGTGGTGAACGCTTTTTCTACCTCGGGAGTCCATTCTATCGGTTGGGAACCTTTTGTCTTCGGGCCTTTGAGAATACCGTGAAGTGGTGCTTGCAGGTCGGCAGCTTTGGGAATAAACCGGCGATAAAAATTTACCATTCCCAAAAACCGGCGTAATCCTTGCATAGATTTTGGCAATGGATACTGTCGTAGGGCGTCGACGCGTTCCGGTGGTAACCTAGAAATTTCACCTCAGGCGAACCTAATACACATTTTTGCGGGTTAACGACAACACCGTAGTCAGAAAGTCTCCCGAAAAGAGTGCGTAAATGCTGTTTGTGGTCCTCTTCCGATTTAGAGAATACCAAAATGTCATCAATATATGCATAACAGAAGTCCAACCCATTGGTAACTTCGTCTATGAAGCGTTGAAAAGTTTGTCCAGCATTTCGCAATCCGAATGTCATAAAAGGAAATTCGTAAAGTCCGAATGGAGTGGTAATGGCTGTTTTGCATATATCGTCCGGATTAACAGGTATTTGATGGTAAGCCTTTACCAGATCGATTGTGGAAAATAGCGTGCAATTAGCCAGGTTGTGCGAGAAATCATGTATGTGTCTGACTGGATAGGAGTCTGGTATAGTTCGGGCGTTCAGCGCGCGGTAATCACCGCAAGGACGCCAGCTGTTCTCCCCTTTCGGTGCTAAATGTAATGGTGAAGACCACGGACTGCTTGAAGGTCTAGCGGTACCTGCCTTGACCATTTCCGCGAATTCCTGTTTGGCGATTTTTAGTCTACCTGGAGCTAAGCGGCGTGGGCGGCAGGCTATTGGCTGACCAGGTGTCGTAAGAATGTGGTGCACTGTTTGATGTTTTATTGTCCTGGGCAATCCGGTGGGACGTGTGATGTCCGGAAATTCTGCGAGAAGTGCAGTCCAAGGGGAAGTGTTGGCAACTGATTTTATGCTGCATTGATTTACAGAGGAAACCTTACCATTCACAGCCAAGCCTGTGACACCATCAATAAGACGTTTGGTACGGAAATCCGGCAGCAAATGGTAGTATGCCATGAAGTCGGAACCAATGATAGGAGTACTCACGTCGGCGACAATAAAACTCCACGGGAAACTGCGTCGAAGTCCTAAATTCAAATTGAGATGGACCGTCCCGTAAGTTTTTATGGTACTGTTGTTGGCCGCGCTGAGGTCGTAATCGGTGGCATGGCGTTGTTCCCATAGTAGCTGTTGAGGGTAACAAGATAAGTCGGAACCGGAGTCGACTAAAAATTGGCGTTTTGTTATTTGATCTGTAACAAACAGGCGGCTGCTCGGGTTCGGACAGTCTGTTGCCGCCGCTACTGACTGTCGTTGGAGTTTTCCTGATACTTGCAGGGAGCCTTACATTTGGCAGCCTTTTCTCCATAAGTGCTATGATACCAACACCATCCTTTGCCGTTAGTCAGTTCCACGTTTGAACGGTTACGTGACCTAGAGCGGGAACGTTGCGGGCGTTTAGCACATAATTCGCTTACCTGTTTTGCGAGTGCTTCAATGGCGGCTAAAACATCGAGTTCCTTTTTATTGTTCGTCGTGGCAACAGCATGGACGAATTGCGAGGGGGCTGGCTGCACTTCAACAATTTTGTCAGCCAGCTCGGCTACCTTATCCAGAGGAAGCTCTGATTGTGCGGTTAAAATAGCTTGTGCATGTGATGGTAGACGGCGGAGCCAAAGTTGACGTAAAATATTGTCTTGTAATGTAGTAGTGCCGGCAAGGGAACGGAGATGTCGTAAGAACTGTGATGGCTTACGGTCACCTAGTTCTTCTTCATTGATGAGTTGCCGCACACGTTGTTCTTCTGAGATAGACAACCGTTCAACGAGTTTTGCGCGTAGATGTTTGTAGCGTTCAGTAGGCGGTGGGTTAGTAATAATATCCTCTACTTCGGCGGCGTAACGCGTATCAAGCTGAGCCACAACATAATTAAATTTTGTTTCCTCACTTGTTATTCCCGAGATTGCAAACTGCGAGTCAACCTGTGAGAACCATAAGCTCGGTCTTTCGAACCAGAAAGGTGGCAACTTGACGGCAACGCGATTCACTGAAGCTGTTGGATATTGCTGGGTTTGTAGTGCTGCAAGGCGAGCGTTTTCTTGGTGTAACTCCTCCAATTGATTGCGAAGTTCTTCGGCGTTCATACTTGTTATCGTCGAGGTCACCAATGTAGCGAGGTGTAATATATAGAAGTAATAAACACTTTTACGATTTAATAACAACTATACTATATTACAACGAACTAACAAATAACAGCGAGAGACGAAGCGCGTTTAAGACAGAGTGCGTAAGTGATTGACTGATCGATTGAATTACTGGAGCGACGATCTTGCCCTTAAATAGTCAGAGGAATCTTCTAGAGGCGGCGGCGGAACTCTCTAGAACATCCGACCGCCACAACCCTTTTTGTATATTTATGTGGTATGCTTTCCAATCTTCTATGTAGTATTTTATGGAATTTTTACAGTCATCCACTGAGTGATCTAGGGTAGGTACGATCTCGTGTTATTCCATTTCAAAAAACAGCTGAGATCAGGCTATTCGATCTACAAGTGGGGAGACAATTTTCAATTTTTGGCTAATTATTACAATATTTCAAATCCAACATACATTTGTATATCGTAGGTGGTTATGCCAACGTGAAATATTAAATAATACCGTTATCTTTATGAAAAGACCGCAATGATGTTTTCTACATATTTTCAAGCATTCAAATGATGACCTAGGTTTAATGTGACTATATTATAGATATGTGGTCTGGACTATTCATCGGTCCCGTAGAATAATGGGTCTATCACCCTCTTTACGTGGAACGTACTAGTCATTCCGTCTCCCTACCCCATCCTGAGGACCGATTTTTGGTCCATTTTCTCCCTTCTCTGCACAATTGTTTGTACCGCTCACACGAAAGCCTCCTTTGTCCACACTTCGACGTCAACGAGCATGAAGGTACAGATCTTAGCACGCAGAGGTATGTTGTTAACCTATAGTATGTGAACATATTACTCTATTTTACTGTTTGTTAAATTGGCGATATTATTGTATCTTTCTCTTCTCATGTATCAATTCATACTGCCCTTAACTCCCTTTCCCTTCTTTTTAACTCTATTAAAATAATATATTTTAATAATTTGTCTCAATGAAAAGCTAGTTAATAATTTTCACTAGAAAATGCTTATCACCCGTATCCCCCTTAATTACTCTTCATGGGATAAACATCCCCCTCTGATAGTGACACTTATTTAGGTCTCAAACTGGTTCCTAAGCTGATATTGCTTTCTCATTTTCGTTTGACTTTCTTGAAAGCTGCACGCTGGGCAAATTTCTTACACTGTATTACGGTATACAACCTGGGGCTAAAATTAATTATTTTCTTCAGTTTCTTATACCCATAAGTAATAACTTAATACATTTTTATCCGCATGCTTGGACAGCTGGTCTGCGGTAAAATTCAAAACTACTATGTTGATGTCACTTGATATCTTCTTCCATAACACATTAACCATTGATTCATTACCTTGTCTTTCTCAGAAATATCATTTATAATTACTCTAGACTTAGTTTAGGTTATAATCTGCTTCTCTACCATTTATTCCATCTTTCCTTAAACTCAATTCCCTTCTGTCCTCTATATGATAATGAAGCTCCATGCTTATTTACCCCTTTTTACTGTGAATTTCCTGGCCTACTAATTAACAGAAGACATATTCTATTTAGCCTCTTAGCCACACACAATATTAATCCTCTATCTGTAGGTAATATTCTTAACTTTATTATTATTATTTTATTATTATCCTATTAGTTCCATCATATCTTTCGTGATAAATACTGGCTTCGTTATTTAATTTCTAATTAATTATTTTTCTCCTTTACATTTTTTCTAATTAAAATTTAAAATTAATATTATTTTATATATATATTAAAATCNTAGTTGGGTCCTTAAAATTAATATTATTTTATATATATATTAAAATCTCTGTTAACAGTAATTTTAAATAATATTTTATTTCTCTCTATTTTAGACTATACTAATTATTATTGTATATCTGTTGTACCATTGTAATATAGTATTGTTATTATTATACTTCTTACTATTATTGTTTTATGACCCCAGAAAAATATTAAAGCGCCAACCCAATAACATATAGTACTGCTTAAGTGCTTTAAATATGTGAAGAGAGGTGTGAAGAAGTTAATAATATTTAAATTAAAATAACATAATATACAGAGTGATTTTTTTATCATAACCCAATCAATTACTTACAGAATATATATAATTTAAACATTGTTTTTTGGTTTTCTTTAGTTACACATTATTCTTGAATTATTAACTATTAACTATTTAAAAAATTTTATGTTCATCCTTTATGCCTTGTAAGGGTGTCAACTTTGTTTTTTTAAATGATAACACGTATTTTTAATTTAATAAAATGTTTGAGTTTTTAATTCAATAGTAAATGGCATTTAAATTTTTAATATAACTTTATTAGTTTATTAGATATAAACATTTAAAGTTTCAAATTTTTGAGTTAATATATACAGGGTGTTCAGTAAGTCAGGAAACGGGTATCTATTGTTCTCATTGTTACAAACAATGAGAACAATAGAAACCCGTTTCCTGACTTACTGAACACCCTGTATGTATAATACACATGGAATTGTAAATACAGGTAGCTAATTGGATTTTTATGACATTGCTGTCTCAGTCAAGGATTGTTTATTATCAATTATGATTATCAATAGATATACTTTCTGTATTGTCAGTTAGTGTATTTATAAACTCACAATAATTTGCCTTACTACAATTGATAATAACAATGCTGTGTACCTGCTAATATCAATGTTATAAAAAACCAATTAGCTACCTATATTTGTAATTCCTTGTGTATTATACTTGTATATTAATTCAAAAATTTGAAACTTTAAATGTTTATATCTAATAAACAAATTAAGTTATACTAAAAATTCAAATTCCATTTACTATTAAATTAAAAATCCAAACATTTTATTAAATTAAAAATATGTGTTCCCATTTAAAAAAAAAAAGTTGACACCCTTACAAGGCATAAAGGATGAACATCAAATTTTTTAAATAGTTAATAGTTAATAATTCAAGAATAATGTGTAACTAAAGAAAACCAAAAAAAATGTTTAAATTATTATTACTCTGTAAGTAATTAAATGGATTATGATAAAAAAATCTCCCTGTATAGATAAACATGTAAAAAAGTAATTGGGTCTGTTAATAAGTGCAAGATGTTTATGGGGTTTTATATTTATATATTTAAATCTAACAAAACAGATAATAACCCCCCGACCCGAAAATACTTTTTAATGGAACCCTATTAACGTTATCACTTAGTAATATTACCAACTAGTTATGTTATAAAATAGTCGATTATTTACAATTTCGACAGTTTATACAATTTTAATAATGAATTTTGCAGTAGTCCTAGAAGACTAAATTATTTTTTTAGTTCATAGCACATAATTGATTTTAAGTTCTTATATATAATAAATAACACAATTGTATTATTGTTTAGTCCTCATAAATAATTATAACTAACATAATTTTGACTATTTAGATAAAGATTTAAAAGTTACATCTGAAGATCCTAAAACGATAGAATTAATCGACTTTTTTGAAAAAGGTAAAAGGATTATTTAACGATTTGTAATAATCGTTTTTAACTATTGTAAATACTTTATCAACGTATTATTTGTATTGTTTATTTAGGATTGAACCCTGAAGTGTCATCAGAAGACATTTTAGAGCCAATGGACACTGATAAACACAAAATAACCACGTATAAATTTATATAAGTATACACTACTTATTTCTTCAATATAAAAATTAGTAAGAAATTTGATATTTTTTTTGCTCGTATTGAACATAAAAATTAAATATTTAATTAAATTTTTATTTATATATTTTTTATTAATCAAAAAATCATAAAATACTCACTTCAAACCAGTAAAAAGTTCTTGAAAAACCAAAATAATATAAATGAATTTATAAAAGTATTAAGAAAAATATATACATTGTCAATAGCTGTTTTAGCATCAATATTTGAACTTTTCTTTATTAGTGAATTATTTTATAAGAGCAATTCATTTATTTACTATAAAATTACTAATCTGCTACAATTTAACGTTATTGTGTTTACAATAATCTATGTAATTATATATTAATATAATGCTATTTTTTATCTAGGATCGAACCTTGATATATCACCAGGAAAAATTTTAGAACCAATAGACAATGACAAAAAAAATAACCATGTTTAATTTTTTATGAGTAAATATTACTTAGTTTGTTAATATAAAAATGAATGAGAAATGTTCTATTTGTTTCTATATATATTTATCAAATTAAAAATTCAATTAAATTTTCATTTATCTAAGTTTTATTTATTAAATCATCTTAAAATACTCACTTCAAACCAGTAAAAAGTTCTTGAAAAACAAAAATAATATAAAATATTATAAAAGTATGAAGAACAAATTGTCTAGTTTTAAAGTCAATTAACAAGAAAAATTATCATACTCCACCCTCCAATTCTGGTAGCTTTGCTATTAAAAAAAAAAAACTTAATAGATCTTTTTAGCTTTTATGTAAAGCTTAAAACATAGTTTAACTCTTACTGGACCGATTTTACTGAAATATGCATCAAAAGATGACAATATTATCATCAATAATGGTAATTATTACCATCATTCGTCGTGAATGGGAACAAAACCAGTACTACAATTTACTTTTAATGCATATAAAAATTTAAAGGGACTAATGCAATACTTTTCAAAACTGTTAGTTACTTATGAATGAATACACAGGATTTTCATCATAATCAAAAGTATTTACACATAAAAAAATTGTTATTGTGAAAGTTTATATATGATAAAAAAAAGTTGAATTTATTTACCATAACTTTTAACACAACTTGCAAGTTTGAAATTGACATCATTAAATAAAAAATATTTTGAGAATTAAAAAAACTTTATTGTTAAGATTAATATGCAGTCAGTAAATTTTATAATTACTATTAAGTAAATTATACAGTAAATTTATCAGAAAAACTCAATATTTTTTTTGTATTTTTCTTGTAAAAATAGGTCAAGTAAGAGATGAGAAAATAAATGAGAGCTAAAAAAAAAAATCACATAATAAAAAACTTTAATAAAAAATAAACTTTTATAAAAAAGTTCTAAAAATATTAAAAATTAAAAATTTAAAAACGAGAATTTTAACATAAAAATGGAATACGGTAGTCATTTTTACCATGAAGATAAAAGAAAGTCCGAATTAATTTTATTCTATAATAAAGTACATTACATTAACTTTAATTTAAGATATATAAAAATGTCAGTTTAGGAGGGGAAAGTACACAGACGATGCGGTCTCCCTCTTCAGGGCCAAAAATAAGCAGTGCTTCGGAGTGGCGGTGAACCAGGACATCCGAAATGCTTTCAACTCCATGCGATGGTCCTCGGAACGCTGGACGCGTTTCAGGTGCCACCGTACCTCGAACGGATGATCTGGTAGTACTTTAGTGATCGGCTTATCTCTTACGAGAATCCTCGGCCCGGAGAATCAGACCAGTAACAAGCGGTTCTTGGGTCTCTGCTGTGAAACATCGTGTACGACGCAAATAAATAAATAATAATCCTAGCACAGTAGGAACATAGTTGGGTCCAGTATAGATTATATCTGACAGTAATTAAAATCACTACCATAAAAACGCATTGATGCAAATCTGTTGATAGTGTTTAATTTTCAGAAATTGGTTGATTATTCTAAAAGTAAAATCAACTCCTATTTCTATCATTATTCCTAATTAGTATTTGATTTATAAGTGTAATTTATGAATAAACATCTATTAAAGCAATTTAATGTAGAATGGAATTGATATTTAATAATTAAGTATTGTAATTTTATCGGAGAATTCATAAAAAATACTAAAGTAGATCTTATTTTTATGACAAACGTGTATTAAAATTGAAGGGCTTCAGCCAGAACTTTTTAGATAATAATTTGTTGTTAATTATAAATAAATGGTCTGCAAAAAATTTTCATCAGTCAAAAACAAACTTTTATTATTCAAATTTTTGTGCTAATTTCAAATCAGCAATTATATGTTTTTCATCACCAATCATTATTGATATTATTACTAATTAGCTAAAAACTATAGGATATAACTATAAGGAAAATAGTTCTGAATATATCAATTGTATCATCAATTTAAACAAAAAAAGTTTCATAGAAATTATTAATATTTCTATTGAAATGATTTATTACGATAAATAAAAATAATTAAAAACACAAAAATTGTTTTAAAATTATAACAGATTTTGATTTTTAATATTTTAAATCAGTCCAAAATATCATTTTTAATCTATTTGATTTGGTATTTCAAAGATGATTTTTTTAAAGTTTATAATTAAAAAAAGTTGAATTTGTTACCATAACTTTTAGCTCAACTTCAAGTATGAAATCTGCATTATTAAATAGAAAATTTTATGAGAATAAAAAGAGTCCTGCACAGGGGGGCCGTGACACAGTGGTGACGTAGCATAGTTTGGTCAAGTATATTGATATCTGACTGTGATTAAAATCATTATTAAAGGAAATGTTTCGATGTAAATCTTTAGATAGTGTTTAATTTTAAAAAATTGGTGGATTATTCCAAAAGCTACATGATCTGCTAGTTCCTTATTAATAAATAATCTAGTTATTAGGTTTCCGTAAGGATCTACAATATTTTCAATTTCTAAAATATCACGTACTTTATAAATGTCTTCGTTTCGTGTATCCAAGACGTGGTCAAATTTTGTTTGTGGTCAATTTTAATTTAATTTATTCTCTTTTGTCTCCTTATCTAGTGGTCAGCGGCAAAAATAATGAATTTTTGGTATCGCTGTGTCAGAAAAAAGTTCATTCGCGCATTCTCTTGTACGACAAAATAAATAAATAGACATAACAAAAAAATTATAAACTAGTTTATAATCTTGACTAGTTTATACAAGAGTATTTAAGACGATTTAATAAATACAACATAGATAAACAAAATGTAATTAAAATTTTATTGAGATATATATATTAACATAGAAAAAAATAGGACATTTATCATTAGTTTTTATATTTACTGATGAGTAATGTTTATTTATAAAAAATTAAACATAGTTATTTTTTTTTTATCAATGTCCAGTGGTTCTAAAATGTCTTCTGTTGACACACCAGGGTTCAATCCTAAATAAACAATACAAATATTACGTCGATAAAGTATTTAAAATAGATAAAAACGATTATTACAAATCGTTAAATAGTCCTTTTACCTTGTTCCAAAAAGTCTATTAATTCTGGCGTTTTAGGATCTCCAGATGGAACTTCTAATTTATTATTAAAATAGTCAAAATTATGTTAGTTATAATTATTTATGAGGACCAAACAATAATACAATTGTGTTATTTATTATATATAAGAACTTAAAATCAATTATGTGCTATGAACTAAATAAAAATAATTTAGTCTTCTAGGACTACTGCAAAATTCATTCTTAAAATTGTATAAACTGACGAAATTGTTGATAATCGATTAGTTTATTACACAACTAGGTGATAATATTACTAAGTAATAACAATAAAAGGGTTATATTAAAAAGTATTTTCGGTCGGAGTGTCATTATGAGTTTTGTTAGGTTTAAATGTATAAATATAAAACTCCTTAAATATCTTGAACTTATTAACAGCCCCACATACTTTTTTCTTTATTTATTTTTTATTAAAAACGATTATTACAAGTCGTTAAATAATCCTTTTACCTTTTTCAAAAAAGTCGATTAATTCTATCGTTTTAGGATCTTCAGATGTAACTTTTAAATCTTTATCTAAATAGTCAAAATGATGTCAGTTAAAATAATTTATGAGGACTAAACAATTATACAATTTTGTTATTTATTATGTATAATGTGCTATGAACTGAGAAAATGACTTTGGTTAGTTAATTATTTTTTGTAAACCAAAGAAAATTTTAAATAAATAGTCAAAACTTTTAAATAGCAAGTACTTATAAAACTCATGAAATAAAAAAATGAATTTTAGCTACGATGAGAATCTGAGAAGGTATTTTTTATCTATTTATATACTTTTATTTTTGTTTCATATTACCATAAAATATGCTAATATGATTCGATATACAATTTTTACTATAAAATAAATTATCGATATTTTACCTTCTTGAAAAAAGTTTATTAGTTCTGGCGTTCTTGGATTTACATCTGGAACTTCTAATTCTTTATTACAGATTACTATAATTACAAGTTATTACATCGTTAAAATGATATTAGATTATATTACTTTTGAGAACAAAACAATATTATAATTTTGTTATTTGTTATATATTTGAATTTTAAATCAATAACGTGCTATGTGCCAAAAAATAATTTTGCTTAATTATTTTTTGAAATTTGAGAAATCTCTAGATAAAAATATATAAAAAATTAAATAGTTTGTACTTATAATACTCATGAAAAAAAAATTATAATTTTTTTCATTTATTTTTAAAAATAATTACATTTTGCTAATTTTTTCTTTTATTTCTCACTTTAAGCGATTTATTCGTTTTATACCATATAAAAAGGACTAAATTGAGTATAGCAATTAGATCATTTTTCTGAAACTAATTCAATATCTAATTTTTTGGTACATAATATCTTATTGATTTAATGTTTTCTTATTAAGAGTGATAATGTTAACCCTAACTTTATGTTCGAATTGAACCATAACTAAATTTTCATTTTATATCAAACTCTAACCAAACCAAAACTCTCATTATTAAATATCAAATTAACAAATTTAAGCCTTATTATATGCTAAAATGATATTTAATCATCTAATTTTTATTGAAATAGTCAAAATTATGTTAGTTAATATTACATACGAAGACTATAACTGTTAGGTACAGAAAGTCTTTAGCAAAGATCTTGTAGACCAGTTGTTAAAAACGTCGTTGATTATATTATATTGTATGGTAGCTAATCTCCAGCGTCTTGCTTTACTTACCCCCTTGCCCACCCAGCTCGGCAAATCAATGACCTTTGTGTCAATTTTCATCCGTGTACACTGTACAGTTCATTGTCGTTAGTCAGTCAGTTAATTGTTTTATGTATTATCTTTTCTTTTTTGTCGCAAGCGTCTTCGCTTGAATGATAAATTTTCTGGCCATTGTATGCCGTTATTTTTATATTTGTTTATTGTACCCTTGTGTTCAAAGTGTTCCACCAGTGATTGGGCCCTGACGATTACTAAATATCTTCATGCCAAAGTCTGTTCTCATCTGCCATTACGTGCCTGGATCTACTCTCTGACTCTAGATACTCAGATGTTCGACACCATTAACACAAGATCTCATACAGTCCACTCGTCACTATCAAGAAACTTCATCTATTCAGCTTAGTTTATATTATTTTTTAATGTTATTCATTATTTGTTTTAATTGAGTTTAATTATTTTGTTTTATGCCGCTTCGACGGCCATTAGTATTTAACGGCCCCCGTTACCCCTTAATTTAAGATACTCATTGAAGAACTTCTAATATGTGTGGTTATTTGTTATTTAATTATAATTAATAATTACAATAATTATTGTCTATTCTCATTACTTATTGGATGTACAGTTAGCCGTCATCCTCCCAGGTGACCCTTCTCCCACTACAATAATAGCGATTTAAACATGCTTAAGGTAAAACGGCATTCTAGTGCGGTGCACAATTAGACATACTACGGTCTAGCAGCCTCTTACAAAACAATAACAATTATACAATATTGCTATTTATTATATATAAGAACTTGTAATAATGTGCGATGAACTGAGAAAATGATTCTGGTTAGCTAATTATTTTTTGAAATATGAAGAAAATTCTAAATAAAAATATAAAATCCTTAAATATATTGTACATAAAAAACTCATGAAAAAAAATTACATTTTTTTCCTGTATCTATTTTTAGTTTTATTTCATATTACCATAAAATATGCTAATATGATTCATTATACAATTTTTATTATAAAATAAATTGTATTTAAAATATTTTACCTCCTGGAAAGAAGTTTATTGTTTCTGGCATTCCAGGATTTTCAACCGGAACTTCTAATTCTTCATTACTGATTGCTATAGTTACAAATTGTTATCAAATATAATTAGCAAGTATTAATTGTAAATTACAAAATTTTAAAATTATTATATACTAAAATGATTTTTAAGCAATTAAATAAAATAAATAATTATTTTGTACGATTTTAATAATAGTTTCAGTTGATATTTTCGTTTTTTATTTTTTATATTCAATATAAAATTATTAAAGAGACCATCTACGACCACATATAATTTTTTTCACTCAATTTTTGAAAAGGTTTCCGAAAGTCTAACAAGCCGAAAAATCTATCAAATTAACGCTTTTTAAGAATACTTTTTGATGTAAATTAGTAATACATTCCAACGTTATTTTCTATGAGTTGTTTGATTTTAAAATGCATTACTTTTACTAAATTTAACATATTTTACGTATATCTACCAATTCTACATATCGTCACAAATGAATCATCATGACCAATAAAAAAAATCAAATAATATAATATATCAACATATGAATTCGATTTTTAGAAATTAACGATTTTGCTTGAACCACTTAATTAATCAAAAATTATAAGAAATGAACATAAAAAAATATTTATGATTTATAAATTGAAAAACATGTACATAATAAAACCAAAAACCAAAAAACAAAAGAAAACATTACTTTTATTTTTCGATTAATTAAGTGATTCATGATAAATTATTCTCTTGGTATTTATACAATAGCTTACTTAATTTAGTATCTTCCTTAGATTCATTATGTATTAGTGCTGTCATCTCATCGATAAATGCATGATTTATATTATTATCTAAAATTATCAAAAGAAATTAATCATTATTATTTAAAATGAAATCATATACAAATACTTAAAATTAAAATTATATTAATTTAAGACTAAAAAATATTTAAAATATTTCACTTAAAAAGCAAAAATTGAAATTTAAGAATCATGCATTATTTTTACTAAATTTAACATATTTTACAATTGGTCTCAATGTATTAAGTAGTATATCTATCAATTCTACATATCGCCATTTAAGAATCATCATGACCAATCACAAAAATCGAATAATATAATATATCAAAACATAAATTCGATTTTTGTAAATTAACGATTTACCTTGCNATGCCAAGTTTGTAATGTTTATACAGAGGCAATCATTTACCTAAAACCACTTAATTAATCGAAAATTACTTTATAAGAGATGAACATAAAAAATAATTTATGATTCATAAATTGATAAGAACTTGTGCCTAAATAACATCAANAATTGATAAGAACTTGTGTCTAAATAACATCAAAACACAAAAGAATATAATATTTTTATTTTTCAATTAATTAATTTTTTCATGATTAATCATTCACTCTTAATATTCATAAAATAGCTTACTTAATTTAGTATACTCATTAGATTCATTTTGTATTAGTGCAATCATCTCTTCGGGAAATGTATAATTTGGTTTAATATCTACAACTATCAAAAGAAATTGATCATTATTATTTTAAAAAAATCCTATAATAATGTCTAAAATTAAAATTATATTAATTTAACACTAAAAAAAATTCTAAAAATATTTTGCTCAAAAAGACAAAAAAATTACTAAAAAGTCGTGGATACTTAATCGGAAACAATATTATAGCATTTTTGTTAAACATTAGCATTAATACAATTTTAATTTTAAATAATATTAGTCACAAATGATCAATTTTTATTATATTTATACAAAGACACTTCGTTGGATATTCTTGATTTCCAATTTCTTTTTCAAATAGCTTAATTTATCAAAAATTAATTATGGAGTAATGAAATCAACCAGTAATAAACAAAAACAAATAAATAGTACAAAACTCCTTAAAGTATTATATACTAGTGAAATATAAAATATTAAAAAAAAAAAAATGATAATACGTTGTTCAAATTTATAGTTATAATTCGAATAGAATTATCATGATAACATTTAAATAAAAAACTATTTAAAATTCTTTGTTAGCAAATAAAATTTAATTTAATTAATAATAACTTGGTTAATTTTTTGAAATTATTTTTCTCAATAGACTTCAATTAAAAGTAAATATATATATAAATTTAATGAAAAATAAGATATTTTAGAATAAACAAAAAATATATATAATTTGAATACCAAAATAGCATTTTTTAACTACGCACCTAGCTTTTTCCACATATAAGGTAAGGTGTCAGGACAACATGTTCTTTTATAGTTAAGTATATTATATAAACTTTAATTTAAGATTAAATAAAAATGTCAGTATTTCTGAAACATTTTTAAAAATTAAGTTGAAAAAGATGACTTTTATAAAAAAGTTGAATTTCTTTCTATTGGCTAGTAAAGTGTCAGATTTTCAAAAAAAATATGTCGATTAAAAGGAAATACTTAAGCTTTTCGTATAAAAAAATTATTTTGGTTCGATAATTCTTCAAAATTTATAGCAGTTTTAAGAACAAATATGAAAAAAAATACTGAAATTTCCCGATTTTAAAAAATATAATTTTTTGGAGGATTATTGGAAATATTTTAAATTTTGAGTGTAAGAAATTCAATTAGATACGATTTGTGATCTTTTGACGTATCGTTTAGAAAAATCGAAATGTAATATACTTTCTTAATCCAGTTTAAAATGATTAATTTTTTCAAAAATACCGATCATACCAGAATTTAATTGTTTTGGTACAACAATCTTTTGGGCCCATAATTCGAATTTGAAACCAAGATCCATAAATTTGTCAAATATTATCTGCTTAATTATTTCATGTAACTTTTTACTTAAATAATCAAAAAAAAGAAGTTTATCGAATTCATTCGTTTTATATTCTATTATCCATTCATGCCACATCTCATACAAATTATAAGGATTATATTTACAATGTGTGCTCCGTTTATTAATTATAAACAGCTTATCTTCTAAAAAAGTAGCTATAGTTTTTAAGGATTCTTGTGTAACTATTGAATGATGATTTAAGTGAATGTAATTCTTTAAATCTTCATGGTTATTTTGTAAATCAGAAAGTAAACGAATGAATAAAAAATCATGTGTTTTACTTATGTCCCAGGAATTAGTATGTAATATGTCTAAAGCATTTAATGCTCCTTGCATTATTTTAAGCAATGAATATAATTTATTTATTAATTTCAATAACTTTTTAGTACAATCATAAGCATAAGTTTTGAGATTTTGTTGGCCATATAGCTTTTCACAATATGTTCTAAATTGTTCAAACATAAAATAAAAAGTCTTCAAATCTTTAACATACGAACAGCCAAGTACAAGTGTAGCAACTCGTACTTTATTATTGCAATTGTATAAGTCAATACTTTTTTCAAAGTTTGTTTCTAAGAAGAACACTTTGTTATAAAAAAAAACTTCTTTCACGTCATTAAAATTTTTCCACTTATCATTAGCGAAAAGATTGATTAACGCATCCGCATTTTCTTTAGTATTGTTTTCTGCTTCAGAAAACTTGAGAATACAAATTAAAAATAAACTGAAACAGAGAAATCGTATTAGCGACATTTTTTTTTTATTAAACTGTAAAATAATAAATAAACTTAACAATTTAATAACACATTAAATTAAAAAATCAAAAATTTTACCGCACTATATTTTAAGTTAAATATATGATTCCATTAATTTTATTTATTAGGATATTGCAAATAATTATATTAATAGATGATTTATTATATTCTTGATAATGACGATATAGAAGTATAATTTTGTAAATTTTGTCAATAAAGAAGTTCAATTTTAATATTAAAATACTTTTTGAAGTTTATTTTACGTTTTATAAAAAACTATCTAGTAATTTACTTTAAAGATATTATTTTATTCTTTAAAATTAGTTCCCTATTAATTGTAATTTTCTATTTCAGATGTGTATTCCGATTGATTAACAATAATTATTATATTTAACAATTTTAGTGTTATTAACCAGGGTGTTGTACCCGAATTATTCCATTACTTAATACCGTAGTCATACAGAAGTAAGCATCACAGCACGAGATTACAAAATGTTATATATAGAATATAATTCAACGCTGATTTAAAAAAAAAACCTAAAATATAAATTTATAAAAAAATTTTTTTTTATTTGTCTAAATAAAAAATAGATTGTATAATATGAATTTAATAAGACTATATACCCGAGTCATTTGTTTAGACAAATTTGATACCCGATATAATTCAATCTTATTATATATATATTAATTCCAGTATTTTTAACTTATATAAATATAGTAAATCATTTTATTATATATAGAGTAACTTGAGGTAAAAGTGTTTCTTTTTTTTTGTTATTGTATATAAGTTTTAGTAGATGATAGTTTTTATTTTACGTTTTTTTTTTTTTTAACCTAATAAAATATAATAAAAAATGGTATTATATTGGAATTGGAGCACAGTTTTGGACGTGGGATATTGACAAGTGTTTGGCCGCCGATCATTTGTAGCGCCACTTGTATACAACCGGTTAATGCGATCGAAATTGTTGCGCGGGCCGTCGCACATAAAGTTATTAGTCGATGCACAACGTGCGTGCGTTACGCACCTGTAAATCCGCAACCCCGGATGGCTGACTTACCGTCTGCGCGTGTTACAGAATGCCAGGTATTTAGGCGCGTCGGAATCGATTACGCTTCAAATGCGCGAAATAAGGTTGAGAAAATCACGTACTTATAAGGTGTATTTAGCCATTTTTGTTTGTTTCGCCGTTAAAGCGGTACATCTAGAAGTCGTGACGGAACTGTCTACTGAAGCCTTTTTAGCTGCCTTCGATCGGTTCGTCGCTCGTAGGGGCCTACCAGCCCAAGTTTTTTCGGATTGTGGAATGAATTTTATCGGGGCTGATAAACAGCTACGTAACCTCATAAATAGCGCAGCGTCTCAAATTAAAATAACGGCAGCGACGCCCATGTGTGAATGGCATTTTAATGCGCCTTCGGCTGCACACATGGGCGGATTGTGGGAGTCCGCCGTTCGCTCAGCAATGCGATTATTAATACGCGTAATGGGTGCTCATAT